CTCCTCTGCTCCCTGAGAAGGAGTGAGGACGTCGGGCTTTGACTCATGCCGAGTCTTGGATCCTGGGTCGTGATGAAGATGTCCGCTCCTTGTCGGTTCTTGCTGGTGTTGAGTAGAATCCGCTCGCCCGCTGCGTCTGGCTCCTTTGTCCCGGACTCTCTGTGTGAGCGCTCAGGTATGGCCCCAGCTGCGTTCTCCACCGCAACCCTGTTGCCGCCGCTGCGGCGGCTGCTGGCAAGTGCTCAGATGTGTCTTCTTGCCTTGGCTTTCCCTCTCTTGTCTAACTCTCTGTCCTGTGATGGCACACTTGGTGTCATTCTCTGGCTTAGGACTGTTCAGTGGAACTCTAAAACTGCTTTCTATGGGAGAGCTTGTTCAGATTCCAGCTTCTCATCCGCCATCTTCCCGGAACCTAGTGCTCATATGATTCTTTTTATACACAGTTCTCAGAACTGGCAAATTAATAGGGATAAAAGCAGATCAATAGTGGCTTAGGGTAGGAGAGTTTAGAAGGAGATGGGAGTACTCATTACAGAACATGGGTTCTTTTAGGGGGAAAAATGTCCTAAACTTAGATTGTGGTTATGACACAAAATCCTGTGAACATACACTAAAAAAGATAACATGACATGTGTTAAATGAAGGAATTGTATAGTATGTGACTTTTATCTCTAGAAAGCTGTTAAAAGTTTAAAATATATTCACATGACTTTTCCATTGCATTGTACAATATACCTGTGCCACAGAATAAAAAAGGCAGTTTTTAAATACCGTCGCTCATTTTCTGGTAACATAATTACTTCAGGAAAATAGATTCACAAATAGTGAGCCCTAGTTTGTCTGGGACATTCCTGGTTTGTGCTTGCTTCTGTGATCTTTATAAATACCACCTCCGTGTGTTCCCAAGGTGTTGTGATTTATACAAGTTGTGTGGTCACCTTCCATAGTCAGGATGCACTCCAGTTTGAAAAGGATGGCTCTATGTAATTTATAATCTGATCATACCGTGTGAATTTAAATTAAAAATGCCCAATCAAGGATTTCACGGTTTAACTGATAATTACTTTCAACAAATTTGCTTCTAAGATTTTAAAAACACTGAAGTACTTCCATATCATTAAGGTGAATATATTATATTTGTTTACCTATTGCTCTCTCACTCATAGAAATATGTCATTTATCATGCAGTGGTGTTGAGTCAGAAGTGGTGACTTACACTTGTAATACCAGCTACTTAGAAGGTAGAGACAGGGGATTAGCTTAGGCAAAAAGAATAAGACTGTGAAAAATAATTATAGCAAGAAGGGCTGGGGGTTTAGCTCAAGGGTAGAGCCCTTGCCTAGCAAGTATGAAGCCTTAGGTCTATTTCTCAATTAAATTTCAGTTAATTCTCAATTAAAATTCTCAATTCTAATTTGTTTAACCCTAAATGAAACAAATCAGAAATAACAGCAACAATAAAGACAACATCCTGAAGCTTGAAAGCTGGTTATCCAAAAATACTTTCTCCTTCAAGATTAGAGGGTACTTATTATAGATATATTAATATAATTTTACACAAATCCAAGCTTTGTCAAATTACATATACAAGCCATTCATTTTCTAAAAAGGCAAGAACTTTCAGCTCTATTTGAGTTACCATACATTTGTTAATAATAAACAATAATATTTAAAAAATGACTGTCAAATACTTGCATGGTCAGGAATACTTTTCTAAATGTCAAACTTAAATATATGATTTTGGCTTTGCTGCTATAAATGAACATAAAACATAATATTAGGGTATTGATTCTATAATGGTATAATTATATGTTCTATTATAATAATAGGCATATAACTATTTTTATTGACTTCCCATTTTGTATACTTTTTGTTAATTTAAAAAGTACTAGTGAAAAATTAGAACAAACCATAAAGAAACTCATTTTTGATTCTCTTACTCAATTTTGGTTTTGTTTATATGACTATTCTTTGCATTTTTATTCTAAGATGTAGTTCTTGTTCAAAAGCTTTTGAACCCATTGGATTTTTCAAAACTATTTCTTAAAATGATTTATATCCTACATATTTTCTATCAAATTTCCATTTTAACATTTTCATGTGAAATAATTGAATTGGTTTTCACATAGAAAGAGTATACCAGGATTTAATCTTCAAACAAATTTAATTCGATGATCTTTGCAAATATGAATATGGCATTTGAATTTCTTCTCCCTTCACTCCCTAGAAACTTATAATAAATAGCAGAGGATTTCCCAACAGTTACACAGAGAGTTTTCAAAAACAAGTGTTTTTTTTTCATTGATAAGCATAATTAAAAAAGATTACAAGGCATGAAACACTGAGTGTGGAGAGAAGATGTGACTCCTGAAAACTTTCCCTTGGCTATTTTAGTACAGTTCATCCAGGATTTCCCTGTGGTTATGACAGAATCCATTAAAGCAAAGCACAGATGCCAGCAGGTGAGGGGAACTTGCCACACACGTTGGTGGACCTCAATGTGAGTTCATAAAGCCAAGGGCCTCAGAACTTTCTATGAGACATAAATATCCACAGTGTGGATGTATGCGAAACAAACTGGGGGTAAGTTTAAGGAAAAATTAAAATGACAAGTAATGTCTTTTCCTCCTTTTTCCTTGATTCATGTGTAAACCCCATACCAAAAATACCAACACGGACCATTTCTTTTGGTATATTCCAGAATATGATAGAATACATATAGAAAGAAAAGCCAGAAACGAGCAAATATTAAACCTGTCTTCTTCAACATGGCACCTGACCTCGGGGGCCATCCAGAAAGGTGTTCCTACGGAGGTGTTCCGACGATGCCGGGTGCTGGTGAGCTGTGCAGACACACCTAGAAGACAGAGGTGAGATTATTTCTTGCATCAATGAGGCATGCAAACAGATTCCAGTCGGTAGCAATTTGTGCTTAAATTCTACTCTCTCAAAGCTGCCCTGGACTTGAACTTCACTTGAGCAGAGCCAAAATCAGAGTCTCTGGATAGCCACAATACAGAAGGGTAGGTGCTATTGTTTTCATATCTAAGTCCTAACCATCCCTAAAGCCTCAGCTGAGGTATCAGTTTTCTCCCATTTGGCTTCGAACCTTTCCTCACTATACTAATTTCTACTTCCTTGATTGTTCTATATTTTAAAGTATTTGTACTGTTATAATTCTTGCTTTCTCCTCCATTTCTCTATTGACAAATTCTGATGAATTTGAGAATACATTATATGCTATTCTACACATAATAAAGTGATTTGTGAATATGCATAATTATTTGTCTATCCACCTTGGGCAAATCATATAGGATCTGACTGGATGTTTCAAATTAACATTTATTTAAACCAGTATCATTCATATAATCAGTTCACCTCTAAATATTTGAGTTACTTTTTGTGCCAATACTAGGGCTTAACCTCAGGGCCTGGTGCTCTTAGTTGGGGTTTTCAATCAAGATTGTCAGTCTACCAGTTGAACTTCACTTCTGCTTCTCACCTTTTACTGATTAATTGGAAATAAGAATCTCACAGACTTTCTCTCCAGGCTGGCTTCAAAACTCTATCCTTAGATCTTGGTCTCCTGGGTAGCTAGGATTGCAGGTGTAAGCGACCACTGGTCCTTGGTATTTAATTTATTTTTAAATTGATACACAAAATGGAAATGCTATTGGTATTTGTGGGGTACCATATAATGTATATGTGTAACTTGTGTAATGTTTAAACCAGGTTAAACATATCTATATCCTCAGGCACTTACCATTTCTTTATGGAGACACATTTAGAATCATTCCTTCCAGCTTTCTGAAATATATACAGTACATGATCTCTATCTGCAGTCAACCTACTGTGAAATGGCACATCAGATCTTTTGCTCCATCCATCATTCCTATCTAATTAAAATCAGTCTTTTTTCTTTTAGAGAGATTATAATTTGAAGTCTACAACAAAGAGCTATCTAACTAAATATTTCAGTCACATCATTCCATTATTTCCTCCTGGTGAGACACATGCTAATTGGCCTCCAAGAGAATTGGGAATAAGGTCTTTCTTTCTCTCTCAATTTTCATATACCTGCTTCTTACACAAGGTTACCTCTGAATGTACAGTGCTCTTAGCTTTCACCTGCCCCAGACTTCATGGATTAGACACTTTTGCATCCTTATTTCACACTTTTTCCATTTCCCATTCCTGACCTTGGGGTCACAGTAGTTTTAGGCTCTTGCTATTTATCTGACAAGCCAGGTCCAAGGAAGCACTTACTGAGATTTTTTTTTGGGGTCCAGTCGTGGCCTGAACTCTGGGCCTGGGCGCTGTCCCTCAGCTCTTCAGCTCAAAGCTAGCGCTCTACCACTTGAGCCACAGCGCCACTTCCGGCTTTTTTCTTTTTGCTTATGTGGTGCTGAGGAATCGAACCCAGGGCCTCAGAGGCATGCAAGGCAAGCACTCTACCACTGAGCCATCTTCCCAGCCCCTGAGATTTTTTTTTTAAAGTGAGGATATATTCGATTTCTTCAAGATGCAATTTGATGTTTGTTGTGAGATTCAAAGACTAGATTTAGCCAATGGACATTTCAGTAGTGGAAACTTTGGGCAGAGGTTTGGGTGGCTATGTTCTAATTTCACATTAGCTGTATCCCTTAGCAACTTGCACCTGTGTGTAAGTTCTGTCCTTTTTATGGCCTTTAAGATGTTCATATATATATATATATATATATATATATATATATATATATATATACACATAATATTACATATTATCTTTGAGAAGTTGTACAAAGGAGTTGCCATTAGAAATGCAGTATATGAAAACAATGCATCTTGTATTCGTTTACCTCTCTCCCTCATCTCTCTCAACTCCATGCCTTCCCTCAGTTTTCATAATTTTGTAGGATATGCATTGAATTTTATGACTGTGTTCTCTCCCTTTCTCTCTTTACTCACCTATTTCCTCTTCCATTGAACCCACCTCCTACATTTCTACTACTGATTTCCTGGTATTTATTTTGTTGGACTGTGAGTTAGTCTTTCTAAGGAATTACACCATTTGAGTTCTCCCCTGAATCTACCATATTTCTGTTAATAATTTGTATATACTTGCAAGTATATGCAAGATTTTCTTTTTAAAAGTTCATTATTTGAAAGAAAAACATCATCACTAATTACATAATTTTTCCAATTCAAAGGCAATTATCTAATCAATACTTGGAGGATCTTCCTTAAATACTTTTAAAGAGAATATCTTCAGACAGAGAATCAACCCTTAATATCACTTATCTCCCAAATCTGTCTTCTGCCTCTTCTGATTCTTTAGACACTTTTAATTTCATTAAATTTAAACCTAAATAGTTTGCTTTGTTTTTCCCCTAGGAATTAGAAATAAAATATCAAGGTGGATTTTTATGATAGTGTCAGAGTATAGTAATTTATTTGTATAAGTGGGAAAATGGATTTTAAAAGCAAATTTAATTTAAAATTGGTTCTGGCTGGAAGGGGTGACATTGATCAAGAGGCATTGTACTTATAAATTGACATGCTGATTTGAAACTCATGTGTATAGCTACTTGAAGATAAAAAAATAAATAGAAATGAAAAAAGGCTCTAAATTTTCAAAAATTGATTCTGAGAATTTTAATCTATGAAAAAGTATATTTGATCTTTGATGAGTGGTTCTATCTCAATTTTATAAAGATAACTGAAGAATTCAAATGTCATTGAAATGAGATGTGAAGAAGAGCAAATATAAAACCCAACCAAGCAGATATCAAGTTTTGCTCCTAGCAGGAAAATTATATTCTAGATTAATCAACATTCTTTTCTTTCTTTCTGGACATGAACTGCTGTGTTGTTGTTGTTGTTGTTTTACATCCTAGAGTCAGGATGTACAGATCAAGATGGCTAGAAGGATTCTTGCTCACAGAAGGATAGGATAAAAGAGTTTTGGGATTGTGACAGGTGACATAGATTGTCACTCTTTTTCTTAGAAATGTAACTCTATCAAGATGCATTATACTCATAAATTGGCATGTTGAATTGAAACCCCTTTGTATACCTAGTTGAAATTAAAAAAGAAATGTGATTTGAGTGGAGACACTTATGGAGGGAATGAATATAGTTGTTACATACAGCAGCAAGGCCTTTGGCCTAATTTTAGTATCCCTATCTAAGTGAATCAGAGTTAGTTTCTGTTGTTTAAAACAAATGAACCCTGAATACAAACCCCAGTGCTTTGGTATCTACAATTAGCAAATTAACAACAATGCTAGTCAATCATGAGTTTATAAAGGTTAATATATGAGATGATATTATATGTATATATTTGCATTATTATTCGGTTAAGAATTTTGTAGGGCAAACATTTGACCTTCAGGTTTTCCCATCTTTCTTTTATTCCCTTCCTTCCTGACTCCTCCCTCCCTCTCTCCAGCTCTCCCTCCCTGCTTTCCTTCCTCCCTTTTTCCCTCCCTCCTTCCTCCCTTCCTCCTTTCCTTTCCATTCCTTTCTTTCCATTTCCTCTTTCATTTCCTTTTTCTTTCCCAGTACTGATACTAGAGCTTAAACTCAGGATCTCATATTCTTGCTTATTAGCTTTTTCACTCAAGGCTGGTGTACTGTCACTTGAGTCTCACCTCTACTGCTGACTTTTTGCTATTAAGTTGGAAGCAAGAGTCTCTCGGGCTGACTTTAAGCATCCATCCTCAGATCTCAGTCTCCTGAGTAGCTAAGATTCTAGGTGTGAGCCACTGGTACCTTACTGGCCTTCAAATTATTTAATCAAACATCCCACATGAGAAAAAGAATATTGAGTAAGTTTACTGCATGTATTACAGAGGCATATATTAATACATTAAGAAACTTATTAGTGAGAGTAATTTAAGGGATGGATATAATTATTTCTTAACTCTAATTATACTTGGTACACATACTGGTACTAATGGCAAAAGAAGTGTGAGGGTAATAGATCAACCACCCTGAGAATCTCAGATATTACATGGAATCTATTGTCATCCTGCAGAAAGATCTTTTTACACATTTCCTGTAAGAGTGACTTGAGTGATAAAAAAGAAAATAAAATCAACTCAGAACACAAAAAAGGAAAACACAAAGACCCGAACAGTTTTTTAAAAAATGTAGCTGGGCACCCGTGGCTCATACCGTGGCTCACAGTTCAAAGCCAGCCCTGGCAGGAATGTCTGTGAGACTCTTATCTCTAATTAACCATCAGAAAACTGAAGTGGTGCAGTAGCTCAAGGGGTGGAGCGCTCACCTTGAGCTGAAGAGCTCAGGGACAGTGCTCAGGCCCAGAATTCAAGACCCATGACCGAAAAAAAAAAGAAAAAAGAAAAAAAAACTGCAACTAGGTAGAAAAAGAAATTCTTAAGACTCTTAGATAACTTACATTAAAAGCAAAATCAGCATCTAACTCTAACAGTGACAGAGGAAAGTAATAAATTTCACTGATTTTTTAAAAAAATGTTTCTGTAATGACTCTGACACCCCAAGATTACTTTATCAACCCCAATGTGTTCAAACCTAAAAAGCAAATTAATAGTCATAAAACAGAACTTGTTGACTTATAGGTTAGCAAAATTACGCCAAGTCATTTTCTTGGGGATGAGAGGCATTTTTACCTAGCCTAATTTCCCACCAGAAAAATAGCTAAGAAGATTAAAGCATGTAAAATCCTCCTCAAAATGATTGACATAAATTACTTTAAAAGGCCACAAGGATTCAAAGTATGCATGTACCAGCCCTAGGAAAGAAGAAAGATTAGGAAAATCATTTTGTCCAGAGAGCAACTAATGGAATAAGTCACCAAAAATCATTTTTGTCCAGAGAGCAACTAATCGAATA